GTTTCCACCCCCCTCCCTGTGCCGTTCCCTGGGCCCAGGAGGGGAAATTTTCTTATGCTTTTGCGAATCTCATTCATGTATGTGTCACTCCACAGCCCGCCTACCTACTCCCTCCCTGTCAGCTGCAATATCAAATACCACGCGGGCTCTGGAAATTTCCACGGAGCACTGGGAAGGGAACAGCAGTGAAAAGGGCAGCTAATGTTTTGTTTCAGAATTCTCACTCCATTACTTCAGCGTGTACGCACACACCCCCGTCCCCCTCCCGTGTGTGTGTGTGTGTGTGTGTGTGTGTGTGTGTGTGTGTGTGTAGGCCAAAGGTTGGTATCAGGTGTCTTCCTCAAATCATTCTCTACATTAATTAAAAAAAAAAATCCGCCGGGCGGTGGTGGCGCACGCCTTTAATCCCAGCACTTGGGAGGCAGAGCCAGGCGGATCTCTGTGAGTTCGAGGCCAGCCTGGACTACCAAGTGAGTTCCAGGAAAGGCGCAAAGCTACACAGAGAAACCCTGTCTCGAAAAACCAAAAAAAAAAAAAAAAAAAAAAAAAACCCAAAAAACTTGCCTGGTGGTGGCGCACGCCTTTAATCCCAGCACCCTGGAGGCAGGCAGATCTCTGTGAGTTCGAGTCCAGCCTGGTCTACAGAGCTAGTTCCAGGACAGCCAGGACTGTTATACAGTGAAACCCTGTCTGGGAAATCCAACCAACCAAACAAACAAAGACAAAACAACAAAAAATAAAGAGAAAAACTGTTAAGAAAATCATTGCATTCGTATGTGTGTGTATATCTGTGTGTGTGCCACACCACGGATGTGGAGGTCAGCCTGGGGGAGTTTGCTCTCTCTTTTTTTTTAGAGGCAGGCTTCAGGTATCGAACATAGGTCCTCAGGCTTGGCAGCAAGTGTCTTTACCCACTGAGCCAACTCACTGGCCCTCTACCTCACTTTTTGATGCAAGCGCTTTCTTTGAAGCTGGCGTTCACTGATGCAGCCAGATTGGCCGGTCCAGCGAGCCCCCAGGGAAAGCCCCTGTTTCTGCTTCTCCAGCATGGAGTTTACAGGTGTGCACGTCCTTGCTGGCTTTGATGTAGGTGCGGTGGGACCAAACTCAGTTCACTGTGGTTATGTGGTAAGTACTGTGTTGACTAACTCCAGGCAACCTCCCTCCTTTTTGAAGTTCCAGCCTCATGTAGCTCAGGCTGGACCTGGTACTTGACATGTAGTCAAAACTGCCCTCGATTCTTGATCGTCATTTCTCCATCCCCAGAGTCTTGGGGTGCCTGGGTTCCAGGTGCTAGCATGCCAGGCCTATGACCTCATACACAGGTTATTTTTTTTTTTTTTTTCTGTTCCTCAAACACAGGAATCGGGAGAGAATTTCATAAAACGTTTTATATGCTCCTTTCTTTCAGCTGTTTCCATGGGCACCTTAGGGGCTGCAGCTAGACCAGTCACAGGTCCTTGCTGAATCCAGACAAGCTTATGACTCAAGCGGAAGTGCCCAGGGGAGGGCTGGAAAGGACATTCATGGTGCTCTGGATGTCCGTGACTGGTCCCCACTTAATTTTTTGCTTAGGGGGATTAGGGGTCAAGTCTATCCTTATACTCTGGAGCTTCTGCTCTTGAAGGAGCCTCTGCTTCCTCAGTACCACACCCTGCTTGCTTAAAAAAAAACAAAAAGCAAACCAAACCCCAAGGCATGGTGGTACACACCTGTATTCCTAACATTTAGGAGGCAAGGCAGGAGGATCCTGAGTTCAAGGATAACCTGGGCTACATAGCAACACTGTGTCTCAAAACAAAACAAAACAACTCGAAATTTCAGAGGCTTAAACTGGGTGTAGCTTTGCAAACCTCCAATCCCAGCTCTGGGGAAGCAGAGGCAGGAGGACTCCAGGCCAGCCAGGGCTGTGTAATAAAGACTTTGTTCCCCCCCACACACAGATTTCAAGCTAGTATATAGACAGATTGACAGATGTGTATCATCGTGTGACCAATGGCTTGTACACTTTATATTTTTTAATCCAAAAGTCAATACATTTATTTGTTTACTCATTCATTGATTTACTTTGTTTTGTATGTGTTTGGGGATACATGTGTACCTTGGAATGTGAGTGGCGGGGGGATGTCAAAGGACAGCTTGCTGCAATGATTTGTGATTTCCACTCTATGGGTCCTGAGGATGGAACTCAGGTCATCAGGCATGTAGACAAATGCCTTAATCTGCTGAGCCATCTTGAAGGCTTATTTATTTATTTATTTATTTAGAGACAAGGTTTCTCTGTGTAGCTTTGGTGCCTGTCCTGGAACTTACTCTGTAGCCCAGGCTGGCCTCGAACTCAGAGATCCGCCTGCCTCTGCCTCCCGAGTGCTGGGATTAAAGGTGTGCACCACCACCGCCCAGCAGTTAAAAACTTTTAGTTTTATTTACTGTTATAGTGTGCCCATGAGTGTGCACGAGTGCCAGCCACATGTATGTCAGAGAAAAGCTTGCCCCCACCCCACCCCTCCAAAGTTCTCTTCTTTCACTGTGAGTCCCAAGAATTGAACCCAGGTCCTCAGGCTTGTCAGCAGGTTCCTTTACCTGCTGAGCCGTCTCCACCGCCCTAAACCATATACAGAGATGGATGAATTTATTTTGTGATAAGGCATTCATTTTCACATGGGCTTTACCCACAGTCATCCACGGCAGACACGAAAAAGCACCAACTTGGGATTCTCATCATGTCCTGTGGGTGCAAATCACATGTTCACACACACACATCCCTAATAAGGTCCTCAGAACGAATTCCTGGAAGCCATATGTAGCTTCCAAAGAGACTCATTATAAACAAGAGAATGTACGCAGCTCTTTTGTTGCTTTGGGTAATGATGCATGCACGTGATAACACAGTCTACGGCTAGGTGCTGTGGGCCACTTTATATAATCCTGGCAGTGGGTTGGCTGAGGCAGGAGGATCGCTGAAAGTTCAAGAACAGCCAGGGATACAGAGTGAAAGCCAGTTTCAAAACAAATGAACGAAACTCAAACGAGGGACAGCAAGATGGCTCACTGGGTCAAGGCGCTTGCTACAAGCCTGAAGATCTGAGCTTAGTCCTTGTCCCACATGGTGGAAAGAGGGAATTGACCAAGCTGTCTTTTCAACTCTACACATGTGCCGAGGTGCGCGCTGCCCCCCCCCCCCCCAGAGTGAAATGAATAAAAAAAAAATTTTTTTTTCTGGAACCCAGAACCCAAGCCAATCTGGAGATAACCCTGTGCTCTTCCGGGATAGATAATATCTATTCATAAAATTCGCTTCTGCCTTTTATTAACTCGTGATGGCTACTGTAAAATGTCACATCACGCAGGTGTTCTGCGCTTGAGGCTGGCATGGCGTTTCCGTCTCGGGGACATCCATTTTAGGAGGAGGGAGATGAAAGAAAAGCAGAGAAAATAGAGAGTAGGTGAGCGCTTTGCGCAGCACCCGGTTGCCATGGGAACCGTGCCATCAACCTTCTTTCTCAGGAAAAGGCAAATAACAAAAGCCAGGGGAGGGTGGAAACCTGAGGTGGTTTGGTTCTGTTTGCTTCTTCATTACTTAACACACGCTTATGTAATGGCAAGCCTCCATAAACAATACACACAGCCATTGTTCAAGGAGCCACAACTGCAAGCCAGCCCCCTCCCCCTGTCCTCTCCACTCGTGTCTCTCGTGGGTTAGGGTCCCTAGGAGAACCCTTAGAAGGAGGAACAATGGCTGTCTCCATTTCACAGAGGATCAAACAGACCTGGAGAAGTTCTAGAAGATTCTCAGAGTCGCAGCTGGGAAAGCAATAAGAGTAGGGTATAAACCCAACAGCTAGTCTACTAGACTCCATAGAGTAGGGGGACAGGCAGCTCAAGAGCCTTTAATGGCTTGGGCCATGGAGATGGATCAGTGGGTCCCCCGGAGTCCGATTCCTGGGCCCACATGGTGGAAGGAGAGAGCTGACCTCCTGAAAGTTGTCCTCTGACCTCCATACATAAGCTGTGGCACACACATGCATCATACACACGCGCACACACGCTCACCATAAACGAAACAAAAATTTAAAAATAAAAAAGAATTTGGAAGATCTGAGTACAGTGGCTCACACCTATGATCCCAGCATTTAGGAGACGGAGGCAGGAAGATTGCCATGAGTTTGGGGCCAGCCTGGGCTACGTAGTTCTGGGCTAACCTGGGCTATAAAGTGAGATCCTGTTTTAAAAACAGAATATCGAAACACTCGTGAGTGAAATGTGGTCTCCCTCGGCAAGTCTGGTACCCACTTACTCTCACACACCCTAAATGATGGCCCTCAGCTCATAAGGACAGCTAACCTTGGCATCCTTGCTTGGTATTGAGACTTCTGTACCATGAAAAAAGATAGAGCCTGTGTGAGGTCACACCTCCAAAGAACAATTTGATTTGGCGCTTTATAAAGCAAAGCTGTATCTGTCCCGCAGGAATGGGGATGTAGTTCGGTTGGTAGAGCGCCTGCAAAGAATGCGTGAAACCCTGGCCTCGACTCGGAGAAACGCATTTAAAAAAAATAACGCAGGCAAGAAATCACATAGGCGCGTAGTTTCAGAACTTGTAGGGAGGGCGGAAGCAGGAGGATCAGAAGTTCAAGGTCATCTGTGGCTACTTGGCAAGTTCAAGGCTACCCCGGGCTACAGGAGACCTTGCCTCAAAAAACAAAACCAAAGCAAACATCCCTTGTAGAAGCATCTATGCTTTCAAAGGTGGTCTCTGTCCCCTGAGGGGAGACTGGTCCCCTTTAGTGCTGTGTAGGCTCCGGTGACTTTGCCCTTGTTCTTCGCTCCAGTGACCAAGCCCTCCTTCCCACCTGTCCCTTTAAGAGCAGCTGCTGCGATCACAACAGCGCAGACCCCAGCTGCTGCCTGCAGTGTTACTATGGAGACCCGGACTAGCAGGAGGGGGCGGGGAAGGGGGGGGGGGACTGGATCTGCGCAGGCGCAGTCTGAGGCTGCCGTACCGCAGCGGCCCCGCTGAGCGTCTAGACCTGGGTGCGCTCTTCGCTCTTCGCTTCAGACTCCGCGGGAGCGCAGGCGAGCTGCCGCTCCCACCCCCCCACGCCCACCAGGTGCGTTCATCGTCGCCTTCCTGCACCCTAACAGCGGTGTCAGGGACAAAGGGAAGTGAGGAACAGCCCGGGCCAGCCCGGAGACCGGACACGTAAGCCCCCTGCGGACCCTCAGATTGCCCCGGGGGAAGATCATTGCGTCCCGTTAGCCAGCAGGTAGCTAGAGCCCGGAGCCCCAGATCCCGAGCCTGGACTCTAACCCCTTCCAGTGGTCCTTCCAGGGTAGGATTGACCCAGCCTCTGTTCTGCAGTCCACCCGGCTCCCTCCCGCCCCAAGACTAGCCTCCACTGGGCAGCGTCATGGCCATGAACCTTCTGCAAGATTGGTGCAAGGAGCTGGAAGTGGAGGTCCACAGGGCCCTGCTGATCACGGGCATCCCTGAGCGCCTGCAGCAGGCGGACATCGAAGCCACCCTGAGGCCGAACTTGCAACCCCTGGGCAGCTACAGGCTTCGGACTGTGAGATCTGTGACCAAGGAGAAGGCTCAGGCCGCCTTGGTGGAGTTTGGGGCAGACATCGATCACTCTGCCATCCCCATTCACATCCGGGGAGATAATGGAATCTGGAAGATCCTGAGTAAGGACCGCGGGCAAGATGCGCGGGTCCTTAGGCAGATGAGGCGCCTGTTGCTAGATGAAAGGCCCATGGATGACTTCAGAGAAATAGCCATCCCTCTGGTATTGGAGGCCCAGGCCCAGGCCAAGGGGTTGGGGAAGGAGGCCAAGAAGACTGGCTCCTCGGAAGGAGCACCCAGGCACGGCCGTCGGGGCCGTCGGGGAGGCAAGCGCAGATCTAGAACCCACAGGTTCACGGCTCAGAAGGGCAAGAAGAGGGGTCGGGGAGGGCGCCGAGCCAGGAGTGAGTCGGACGACTCATCCGATGACAGCCTGGGTATTGTCATAGAGGAGATCTATGCGGAGGACCTGAGCGTAGATGAGGACCAGAGGGCCCTGTATGCCACGCTCCAAGCAGCTGCCAAAGAGCTCACCAAGAAGTGGGCCTTCCGGGGAGACCAAGATGAAGGAGATGGCCCCCGAGAGTTTTTGGCACTTGTCACTGTCACCGACAAAGCGAAGAAGGAAGAGATCGAGAAAGACCTTCCTGGTACAGAGTCCATCTGCTTAAACATCAAAGATGACAAGAGCGGGGTCCCTGATTTAGTCGCGCTCCTGGCTGTAAGAGATACCCCGGTAGTGGATGTAGATAGCGAGGGGGAGGAGGAAGATGAAGATGGAGAAGAGGAAGAAGAGGAAGAAGATGATGACGACGACGGTGATGATGATTCCGACGACGACGGCGAGTCTCTGGAAAACGCAGAGCGAGGAAAAGAAGGGGTGGACAACCCCGAGTTTGTGGCGATCGTGGCTTATACCGACCCCGCTGACCCCTCTGCCAGGGAGGAAATGCTCAAAATCGCTTCTGTGATTGAGACCCTAGGCTGGGGTGATAAAAAAGACAAAAAAGATGTCCTTCCTCAAGTCCTGTCTGTCATGAACAAGGACACCTCTGGGCCCAGGGTGAAGGTAGAGGAGGCAGGCCGTCAGGTGGACGCCATGGTCCTGAGGAAGGCGGAGGAAGACGGGAATCTTCTGGAATGTATCTCCACCTTGGCCGAAGCCGAGAACAGCACCAAGGGAAAGAAGTCTGGACTGGGTCTCCTCAGAGGGTGGACCGCTGAGGGCCACCAGGGTGGCCTCCTGGAGCTGGTGGCACTCCTGGCGGCGCAAGATATGGTGGAGTCTGTGAAAGAGGAAGAAGCCAGCAGGTGGGGCGGTGGGGGCAGTGGCGGCAGGAAGTGTGATCATAGCCAAGGCGGCTTATCCGACGTCCTGGCTTTCCTGGCCTCCCAGGAGAACCTAGAATCCAACGAGGAGTCGGATGACGATTCAGACACAGAGTCTGAGGAAGATTCAGACGACACCGACAGCGAAGAGTCAGAACCCGGCGACAGCGTGTCCAAGAAGCCCCGCGCCAAGAGAGCGCGCACCGGCTCCAAAAGCCTGGCTCCTGCTGGCGCCACCGCGGTCTCCACCGCATCCAGGGCACGCAAAACCCGCAGGGGTGGCCGCGGTCGTGGCCGGGGCGTCACTCCAGAGAAGAAAGCGGGGAGCGGGGCTGCAACCGAAGACCACGCTTGCAACAACACCACCACCAAGAAGAAGAAGGGATCTTCCGGCGCGGGGGCCCGTGCCAGGGCTGGCGAGGCCAAGGGACAGCCAGCTGCTGTTCCCAAGTCTACCCGCGGGAAGAAAGCACGTCGGGGCCCAAGGCGGGCGCCCAAATGCCGTTAGTGCCACAGACGTCACTAGGAGCCCTGTCTCTTGTGTGTGAACCCCCTCCCCCATTCTCTCTCTCTCTCCCCTGCTTCCCCCTCTCGCTTAACCGCGTGCATTTTGCTTTGTGCTCTGCCGCATCCCTGGCTGGCTATGACCAGTGCCCAGCCTTCCCTCTTCGTTCTATGAACAGATGGCGTGAGCGATCGTGATGGCTGAAGCCTTGATACGACAAAGAAAAAGAGACAAGACACTCGGATGCAGTGGCCAGTGGGTGCAGAGAAGATGTGGGCCTGGAAGACCCCAGCCTGAGTGTGTGTGGGTACCAGGCACTCCCTCCTGCCCATCCTTCCAGGCACCTGCTTCTGGCCAAACAGCTGGTATCGACTGTGAGCCACCTCTGGCGTGAAGGGGCCTGGGGGGAAAACAAGAGAGTGTTGGGCATTATAGGCATTAGCTGAGCTTGGAAGGGCTAAGGGCCTTGTGCGTGCTTGTGTTTGTGTGTGTGTACTCCCAAAGTAAAAGTCTGAGGGGGCTGGGAGAAGGAGGAATAGAAATGGGAGGAAGGAGAGGAGGAGGAGGAGGCTGGGAGGGGAAGGAGGAGGGAGGAGGAAGAAGAGGAGAAGGGGAGGAGGGAAGGGAAGGTGGCATTAGCCCACCCATCTGAGGCTCTGCAGGTGGGAAAGATTGGAAGCCAAGCCACCCCACCAGCCTTTGTCCACAGGTTGAACTGGCAATACTCTGCCAATGTGTTCTGATTTGGAAAACTTACGGGAAATCCAGATTGCTGGTTTCTCAGCTGGGCAAGCCCTGTGGCGTCTCAGCTCCATTGCCCCAGCTGTCCCTGGCTACTCCTCCGCTTTTTGCCCTTGTAACTCTTGACTTACTGTGACAGTGGAGTCCCTTGTCCACCCCTCCCCCCACTCACGTGCAGCAACTACCCAGGTCCCCTTAAAGGGTCAAGTGTCCCTATCGTATGTAGGAAACAGTTGCTCTACCCCACCCTGGTATTGTCCATCCCCCAGTCAGCCTGGCTGACATTGGCCAGGCTCCAGCCCTCTGCTGTCCCCGAGAGCAGCCACTTCGGCTGTGTGTTTTCCTGTAGTGCTCCGTGCCGAAGCCCTGGCTGCTCAGTTCTGTGTTTCGCTGTGTAGATAATGCTTTTCCTAAGCACAGCACCTTTCATCCTCTTGTTCACGTGTGTGCGTGTGCGTGTCCAAGTTTCACTTCCCAGGAAGTGACCCGTTCGTGGTCCCTGGACCCTCTAGGATGTAACAGAAGTTCTGACCTGTACTCGTAGCCCTGACTGGACAGTCCGACACCATGGCAGGGGCATACAGAAGCTGCGAGGACTGTGGGTACCGCTTTGTACTCGGAAGCAGCCCTCTCCTTGCTTCCCAGGACCAGTGATGATGAGAAGCAGGCCCGAGTGGCCTGTGGCTGGAGAGGAAGCCTCTCTTCGTGTGGGCTGATGGACTTGGGGTCTGGTGGAATTCCTGAGTAACCTGTGACTGGAGGGTCCCACCTGTCACTCTTCTCCCTGCATAGTTATAGGTACCTGTCCTTGTGTGCTGTGTGACCCGGGATCCTTCAGTGAAACATAATGAAGCTTCTTTTGGCTGTTGTTTCCTCTGTGGTCTGAACAATGATGTGCGTGTGTACCAGGTTGAGTGTCCTGCCTTGCCATCATGGCTGACACCACACACACACACACACACACACACACACACACACACACACACACACACCCCGGCTCCTGCTCCCCCGCATCCCATAGCCCTATGTGGAGTCCCATGCCCCTCCACACTCCAATTCACCCCTGGACTTTGCCACGTTAATTGAGCCCTTCAGCCCCTGAGATCCTGATATAGCTCACATTTGTCCTCACAATCTCCCCCTTCTCCAAGCCTTACCCCAGTCTCTACCTGGGACCCCCAGAGCAAAATCCTGCAGTACAGGTTGCGGCTTTAGCCTGGTCTGCATTTCACTGTCAGGACTTGGGGGTGGTGGCCCAGGGGGACTGTCTTGGCACCCACATCTGACGCTGGGCAGCTCCTCTCTCCACACCCCAGAAGACCTTGCTATGTCACCACAGCTCCAAGCCAAATATCTGGACCCTCTTTATCCAACGGTGTCACCACTGGCCACGTAGGGGCAATTCAATTGACCTAAAATCTCAATGGAATAAAGCTAAACGTTTGTACTATTTTGTCAGTCCCATCCGCATGGCTCAAGGGCTTCACATGGCCAGTGGTAACCACATTGCTTATTATTGGTACAGGGCATCTCTGTGGTCACTGAAAGTTTCTGTCACTTGTGGTCCACACAGGATATCCCCTCTGATCTCATTTCCCACAACCCCTTCTGGGTCTTTAAGTGGCTTTAATCCTCCAGGTCCTAAGAAATACCACTTGCTCCTACCTCGGGGCATTTGCAGGAGGAACAGGAGGTTGTTCCTGCTGCCTGGAATGCCCTTCTCCAGGACACTTCATTTCTAATGTCACATTCCCAAGGAGGGCTCCCTGGAGACCCTATTTAAAAAGTGACGCTCCGTAGTCAGAGCCCTGACTGCACCTTGGCACACTTACTTGTGTATCAACTACATACAACGGGCGCTTTTAGGGATGCAACATGAGGATGGGTACATTTGCTCAAAGGGGAAATAACAGCTCTCTTCCTGGGTGCGAGGTACCTTCTCTGTAAAGCCGGTAGCCTGGAACCCAGGTCACTGGAGTCCCGAGACCCCAAACACGGAGGCAATTTTGCTGAAGATGGTCCAGGTCCAGAGGTTTTGGTTCGTCCATGTTGCTGCTTTCTGCTGCTGCCTTCAGGATGGAGAAGCCTTCCTCCTCAACTTTTCCAACCCTAGTGTACCATCCAACCTCAACAGCCCCTGGTGAAGAACTCGGGGGGGGGGGCTAGAGCTTTGGGGTCCTTCCTGGCCCGGGAAAAATAAGTGAGCAGGTGGAGGGAAAGCAGAGCCCCTTAGAATCAGCTCCCAGCAGTGGGAGTGGGGTGTACCCCACAGTGTCCCCAGTGCCTATCACTGTGTAAGGCAAGCAGTGCTGTGCCGGTTGGCTGACATTTGTTGAATGGTTGCCACGGATAACTCTTTGGGGTTGGGTAAACCAGACCCCAGATGTGCTCGGTGAGGAACGTTCCAGAACCATATGGTCTCTGGAGGGAGCCGAGGGTCGAGTAAAGAAGAGCAGAAGGAACTGTGGAGTGGAGGCCCTAAGGTCCCTAGGGGGTGTCAGACCCACGTCCGTGAGGTGAGCTGGAGGAGCAGGTGCAACCTGCAGGGAACCCCAAGTGGCGTAAGTGGGTGGAACACGGCTGCCCCCTGGCGGCGGAAAGGGCAACCACTGCGCAGGTTGCGCAATGCGGATTTCTGCTGGCTTCCTTCCTGGAGACAGGTGAGTTCCTGGGTGGGGCGACAGGTGATACACTCCCTGGATAAGGACAAGATCTATGTGTTAGATATCCAGGACTGCTGGCTAGAAAAGGCCCCTAAGGCAGAAGCCTGAGGATGGCAGAGGCAGGCACATGACTGAGGGAGCACCATGGGACAGCGCCCAGCCAGTGCAAAGCTGAATCTACGAGATAAGCATACGACCATCAGCGCGTAATTACCGGCCCCTTTCGTGCAAGGATCAGAGCTGGGCTTTGGGAAAGCAGTGTTCACCATGCCTCATGTAGGGGCGCACATCTGTAATCCTCGTACTCAGAAAGTGAAGGCAGGGGGATCAGGAGTTCTAGGTGAGCCTGGACTACCTAAGACCCTGTATCAAAAAACCAAGCAAGATCCAGCTCTCGATGGGCCTAAGGCATGGAGGAGCTTGCGGGCAAAGACAGAACCTGAGCTCTATTCCAGCACACGTGGTCGAAGGAGGGAACTGACTCCCACAGCTGAACCCTGACCTACACATGTGAGCCATGACAGGAGCACGTACACACACACATACACACACACACACACACACACACACACACACACACACACACACACACACACCACACCACACCACAAAAAAATACAATGAAGGAATAAGCAAGCAAGCAAGCAAATGAGATATTCGAAACAAAAGGCCACTAAAAATTCGGAAACAAAAGGCTGCTGGCTAATAGAATTCTAGAGACTGGAATTTAGGAAGAGGAAGCTGGGGATGGGGTGGTCCTTGAAGATTTCCTGGATGTGTGTCCTTGCCTGGGACCTCATCTATCCTGTCTCTCAGCTGCCTCAGACAAAGACAGCGGCGCTGTAGATTCCTGGGGTCGTGAGTAATAAAGAAAAGTGAAGGGTCTGAAGACCTATGACGTCACCCCTTCCGGTGTCCAAAGTCTGGTGCCCACAGAGAACCCAGATCCTTAGTGCAGAATCCTTCCACTTCCCTCAGGATGCTCCTCCTTCCTTCAGGAACTCAGAGGCGTCAACTCACAAGAGCTGCAGAGGCCCCATTGTACCACGAGGAGGCGCGCGGGGATCGCGGGTTCAAACCACACGCTCACCACCGTTTCCCCGTGCAGTAGGCATGGAAGCCCAGAGTCAGGGCTTGTGCCTGGCTTGTGCCTGGCTGCTTCAGCAGCTCCGGGGAATTTGCGAGAAATGCATATTCCTGGGCCCACCCTGGATCTACCGAGCCATTTCGGGAATGGGCTTCCTAAATCTGTTGTCAAAAGCCACCCAGGTGACAGCGAGGCATGGCCAGTCTGAGAACAGCTACTCTGTTACCTGGAGCTATGATGCTTAGCTCCGGGCTACCCAGAAGAACTACCCATGGAGTCTTACCGTTTTAAGACTGGCTGTCTGTACGTAGCCCGGGCTGTGCAGACCAGTCTGGCCCCCAACTCACAGAGATCACCTGCTTCTATCTCGAAGTGCTGGGATTAAAGACATGCACCACCACACTCGGCCATGCCCTTCTTGCCTCTAGGAGCTATATAAATACCGGGCTGTATTGGGCTCTAATGGAGCTTCCTGTGAGCAGGTGGGTGGCTCAGCTCTGCCCTGGGTCCTTGTTCAGGAGCGGAGTGGTGTGCTTTGAGGAAGCCCCTCCAATACACAGAAGCAAGAAGAGGGAACTGGAGAAAGCAGGAAGTCTCTGCTGTTTTAGGGTGACAGCTCTGTCCTCTTTGTGGGTTCTGTGCCATTTTCCTCTTTGTTGACAGTGAGAGGCAATAGGTTGGTATAGATAGAGGGTGAACGGGAGTCTGGCTTTCTGGGGCTTCCTCCCTGGACACCCCTTTCCTTCAGAACTAGAAGTCAAGAGGTATCAATCAGTCGGGTTTGGGACTGGTCTGCAGGCACCGCCTACAACTACTTAGATGACCAAAATACCGAACACCCTCGGTATTAGTTTATTCCATGTTGCCGTAATGAAGCATCTACCGGAAACAGTTTGTGGGGGAAATGCTTTATATTGGCTTTTAGCTCCAGAGAGATCTCGGTCCACCGTGGTGGGGAAGGCGTAGCAGCGTGGAGTAGTAACAGAGCCTGTTGCCATGGTGACAAACCAAGAAGCAGAGATACGGCAGCTAGAACCTAGGGGGATAGGACCTTCAAAAGCCCGTGTCCAGTGACATACTGCTGCCAGCCAGCCCTTGCCTCCTAATGGCTGTACAGCCTTTAAAGTAAAGCCTTGATTCCATTGTGGCAGCACACTTTAGTTCAAGGGCAGCCTCATCTACATCTACAGGGCGAGGGAGATGGCCATATAACCACCCTGAGGATCCAAGTTTGGATTCCCAGTATCCAGACAAAAGAACTGGGTGTGGCCGGCACGTGCTTGTACTCCCAGCACTGGGGACACAGAGACAGGAGTGTTCCTGGTCCTGGCCAGCCAGTCTGGCCCAACTGACAAGCTCCTGGTTGGTGGGAGGCCCTGCCATACAAAGTAAGGTACAGGCTGGGAGGTGGTGGCGCACACCTTTAATCCCAGCACTCAGGAGGCAGAGGCAGGCGGATCTCTGTGAGTTCGAGGCCAGCCTGGTCTACAGAGTGAGTTCCAGGACAGTCAGGGCTACACAGAGAAACCTTGTCTTGAAAAACCAAAAACCAAACAAACCGGGCTGGCGAGATATGTGGTAGAGGCGTGTCTGTGCATGTGTGTGTGCTCCCGTGGAGGCCAGAAATCTGCATCATTTGTCTTTCTTCGGTGCTCTCCACTTTGGTTTTTGAAATCAGGTCTCTCACTGAGTGTGCATCACCTGTTTCAGCTGGAATGGCTATTCAGTGAGTCCCCAGGATCCAGTTATCTCTCTACCCCCCTATCCCTGGGATGGACTCACAGATCTGTTCCACCATACATGGTTTCACATGGGTGCTGGGGATTTGAACTCAGGTCTGAATGCTTGTGAAACAAACACATTACCTAATGAGTCATCTCCCTAATCCTGGCTCACATTTCAAAATTATTATTATTATTATTATTGTGGTGCAGTGAATAGAGTTCAGGCTTTATACCTGCTAGCAAGGGCTCTACCACTGAGCCACACCCCCAGCCCCTCACTGGGGGATTCTAGGCAGGGGCTCTACCACTGAGCCACACCCCCAGCCCCTCACTGGGGGATTCTAAGCAGGGGCTCTACCACTGAGTCACACCCCCAGCCCCTC